CCAGCCTCACTTTAGCCTAAACGAACGGCACCCTTTGGGGGCAAACACTTCCCCTTGTGGCTTCTGTGAACGGTAGCCCCTGGAGTTCGTCCAGAGGTGACCAAGAGGAGAAAGGTCACAGCTAGTCCATCGTAGGGGTCTCCCAGCAAGAAGGCCTGGGCCGAGCTTTCAGCCTGGTCTACCTGACTTCACCCCAGGCTGCTCCCTCAGCAGAGTTCACAGCTGGGGAGCAGAACCCGAACTCCTGCAGCCTCTCGGGGGTCCCCACCTGGGAAGTGGGGCTCGGCCCTGACCTTAGCCGTTCTCACTCGAAGACGCCTACCTCGCAGACACAGAAGAGCTGCCAGGCGCAGGCTGACAGCCTGACCCTCCCACCACAGGGCACTCCAGCAATACCTGGTGGAGTTGCTAAGAAATCGCTCACCTGGCCACCTCCCCCAGGGAAGGTGCAGGTGAAACCAAGTCCCCACAACAGGCCCTGAACACAGACGCTCGAGGCCTCTAGAGCTCCTGAACCGCGGGTGGTGTGTCACAGCGGCCGTACAGCAAGCTAACCCCCGGGCTCCTGAGCTCTTCTGCCTCCGCACCAGATGACACCTCAGTGGCCAGCTGTCTCCAGGGGTTTCGCTTAGGGGGTTTCCAGGTCCGGGCGGGAAGTAATTACCACCTGCATGCAGCCCCCCATGCACGGAGGCTCACTTGGCCATCATAAACACTCCCTGACCACAGCCAGGAACTTGGACACGAGCTGCCCGAGGAACCTGGCCAGACAACCCCTGGGACTCCACCCAGCTCGCTCCCATTTTATGTGCATCGCGACCACGTGTGGCTCACTGATGCCATGGTGCATGGCAGAGCAGCGGCCGACAGTTCCAGAAAGAATGGGAAGACCCCAGGGGCAGCTGCGGCAACAGCATCGGGAAGTGACGGCTCATGGCAAAAGACACAAGAACACAGAGAGATCGCTTGTTAGCACCACCTGCCGAAAGACTCGGCTGAGGGCCGGCGTTGCGTGGCACTGGGTTCAGTGGCCGCCTGCGACGCCTGCATCCCACACGAGTGCCTGTTCCTGTCCTGGCTGCTCCACCTCCCATCCCGCTCCCTGCTAACGGGGCTGGGAAGGCAGCAGAGGATGGCCCAAGTGCTTGGGCCCCTGCCACCCATGTGGGAGACCTGGAGAGAATTCTAGGCTCCTGGCTTCAGCCTGGCCCAGCCCTGGCTGTTGTGGCCATTTGGGGAGTGAACCAGCAGATGGAAGACCTCTCTCTCCGCAACTCTGCCTTTCCAATAAATAAATTTTAAAAGCAAACAAAAAAAAACCACTTAGCTGCCAAACACCCAAGTCTCCCTCCCACCCCAGGTGCCCACAACACAGCAGCTCCTTGCAAGTCCTCAGGGAGTCATCCAAGCACGTGGGGGAGTGCTGGGACAGCAGGGTGACCAGGGTCCACGTGGGGCACTCACAGCCTCCCATGGGGATGTGTGCAGGCTAAAGAGACCACGGGAGCATTTGTCCCGAGCTCACTCTGACGGCACCAGAAGGGGGTCCCCCCTCGGCCGAGCACGGTTAACAATGCCAGCTCTTCCGGTCCTCTATGCAGCCCTCTGACAGTGGATCCCCAGGGTTCCCATTTGGCTGACGGAAAATCGAGGCGTGGAAACGTCAAGTGCATGTCCTGAACAAGCGATGTGGGCCTGCCCATCCAGGAGGGAACCCGCTTCCCAAGGCAATCACACCCTGATGACTAGGGCTCCAATGCTCGGGGCTCCGCGCCGAGGCAGGTTTTGCTGTCTTAAGCAGAGACACTTTGGGAAGCCCCGAAATATCCCTGGGATGTTGGTCTCTCACCCAGCCCTGCCCCCAAGGCAGCCAGACAGCCCCCCACCAAGGGCCCACTGAGCCTTGCTGCCGCTGTGGGTATCGGGCCCAGCACTGGTCAGGGGTGGCCCTCCTTGTCCTTTGTAACCAGCCACTACTAAGGACGTGGCAGGGGCCTGCTGAGGCCGACAGGTCCTGGCCGCCCAGCCACTGCTGCACACCCCGCCAGGCAGTCCCTGGCCTGAGCCACGGCCGGGACCTGCTAAGCCACCTCCTTTGGGTGGAATGCCTTTCTACCTTCTAGCTCGTGGGCAGGCTGTCTCCCCACAACCAACATGGCAGGGGGTGGGAGGGAGAAGGCTGGAGACCAAAACTGGGGAGGCATCCAACCCTCTAAAGAGAGAAGCATGCCGCTCAGCCAGGCAGCTGCGTGAGGCAGGGCCCCGGGGTATGGGGGTCGCGGCCCAGCCTATGACCCGTTAGCATGTGAAAAGCTCTGAGTGGTCCCACGGGCACAGAAGACCCTCATGGCTGCCGCTCTGCCTGCCTCTTCCCAGGGACCACGGCACGCAGATGCCTACCCACTCACATCCCACGAGCAGGTGTAGGGACACTTGAGCATGCCCTGTGGGTATTGTGGAGGTGGGCGGGACAGGTGCAGTTGGCAAGGACCCCGTTGTCCATTCAATGAGCACCTGCAAATACCGGGCAGGGGGAGGGGGACAGCCAGACCGAAGCTTCTGATTCTGGATACTAAACAGGTTAAGACCTGTGAGAGGGGCCAGCGCTAAGACGTAGTGGGCTAAGCCCTGGTCTGCAGTGCCGGCATCCCATATGGGCACTGGTTTGAGTCCCGGCTATTCCTCTTCCAGTCCAGCTCCCTGTTAACGGCCTGGGAAAGCAGTGCAAGATGGCCCTAGTGCTTGGGCCCCTGCACCCATGTGGGAGAAGCTCCTGGCTTCCGCCCAGCTCAGCTCGGCCATTGTGGCCATTTGGGGGTGTGAACCAGTGGATGGAAGACCTCACTATCTCTCCAATAAATAAAGATTTATTGCCCTTGCCTGTCCATCCATCTGGCACTGAGCCCTGAGTGAGGCTGCTGCCAGGATGAGGAAGGGCACCGGCCTCAGACAGCCTGGCTGGCTCAGCCACGCTCCAGGCCCGCATTAGGGGCTGGAGTCTCTGCTGCACCCCGTGGGGTCTCAGTCAGGAGCTCCCAGCACCCTGTCTGCGAGCCGGACCCTCGGGCGCAGGCCGGAATGGGTGGCAGGCACAGCGGGGCTTTGTCCCGGCCTGCGCCGGCGACGGCTGTGCTGACGCTCTGTGAATGGCCCTGTTGTGGTATTTTAGGAAGAGGCCACAAATAGCACGAAGGCAGGATGGGCCTCGGAGCCAAGCTCATGAGGGCTGCAGCGCGGGCCTGGACAATGGGGCCTCACAGGGAGCCAGGGCAGGATGTGGGGTGCCCCTGGCCTCTTCCTCTCCCAGGCTCTCCCGGGCCCCCTGCCCAGCCAGCCCCACGCTCATCAGTGCCCCGCCCCCAGGAGTTTCCTGGGGAGGGGCAGATCCCTGGCCTCTGAAAAAGGAGAGGGGGGCATGTGGCAGCACTTCCAGCACCTGCTCCTTGTGTGGATGTCCCGCAAGCATGGAGGCGGGGGCACGGGAAGGAAGCTACCCTCGGCTTTCCAGCAGAGAAACCTCCAGCACCCCCAGGGTTGCACTCCCTCATCAGGGAGGCTACAGGGAGGGGTGAGGTCTGGGGCAAAGTAGAGAGGTCAGTATGCAGGAGCTGGTCTCTCAGAGAGTTGGAAACGCATGGAAGCAACAGAGGAAGGACCACCCCAAGGAGCAGGTGCCGGGATCCCCCAGCGCACCCCGAGCTGAGCGAGGGCCATGGCTGGGGGCTGCTTGTGCCCACCCGGCTGTCTCAGAGCTGGTGTGGAAGGGGGGCTCCCCCAACTCTCATCCTTGCCGTGAGTATCCCGTGTATACACCCCCACGCCCACCCTGTTTAAGAGGAAGGACAGTGGGGTTCTCTCTCAGTAAGCAGAATGGAGTTAGGCTGCCTTGTGCACAGCCAAGAACCTGGACTCGGGGCTGCAGGTGGAATCCCGGTGAGGCTGCTGTGGGGTCTGAGGCAGGCTGTTTCTCTCTCTCCCTCCCTCCCCCTCTAACTAAAAACTCATCTGGAAAAAGAGAGCTGGGCTAGGGGGTCTCCGAGGAGCGGGCAGCCTGCTCAGCCTGCCGTAAGGGCTGAAGGCAGCCAGAGCCCATGGCTGGGCGAGGGAGTGCAGTCTGGAGGGTGAACCAGCTGTGTCCCCAGCCCTTGTCTGGGGCTCTTCGCGGAGGAGGGGCCCTGCCTGTTCCTCCCACTGCAAGGAGAAAGGGAGCGAGGCAGGCGACTGGACACGGCAGCAGGGCCCAGCTCCAGTGGAAGGTGCTGGCGTGTGCCAGGGACCCTGGTCACCCGCTCTCCTGGGGACGCCTGTCCCGCATGAACCCTTGTGTTCCAGGCCCTTGCTGCCGCAGCATGGCATCCTGGCAGATGCGCGCACTCATGCCAGGAGATCCCAGGGCCCAGCAGGTGCAAGTGACAGAGTCTGAAACAGAGCCCCGAACCCCAGGCCGTTCAAGCTGATGCCCCCATCCTGCTGCCGGCACTCCCAAGGAGCTGAGGCTCCCTGTGGACAGTGATCACGAGCCCCCTCCTCCTCCAAACACAGACGAAGCTGCAGTCCTGGGGGCTCTGTGCCTCCACGAGCTGCCGATGCAGGCGGTGCTGTCCCAGAGCCTCCGTGACAGCTCTGTGGGCCCAGGACACCATCCGAAGGAAGTGGGCCACAAGCCCCAGCTGGTGCTAGGGGCTCTGCTGGGCCAGCCAGGTGCGCTGAGGGTACCAGATGGTGGAGAGGCTTGCGAGGGATGAGGGGAACCAAGAAGGACCAGGGGCACTGCCGCTGTACTAACTGGCCTGGAAGTATTTCTGCAGCTTGCAAACCCCCTCGCTGTTCCAGTGAGCGTGCCCAAACCTTGGCCATGCACAGAGCTCCCTAAGGTGGCAGGGTTGGGGTGACCGGGGAGCAGGTGCAGGGGGCCCAAGCAGCCCCTGATGGGCACCTCAGGCTGTGCACTCTCACATAGTAGCAGCCACTGTGACATCACTGACCGTGGCCTGGCGGGATCAAGTCACAAAAGCCAGAGCTGAGCCAGGGGTGGGGGTGGGGGGCACCTGCTCCCTCATGGCCCTGACTCATCATCACATCCTCTCCTGCTGCTGTTGCTGCTACTACTGAGCCCTGAAGACATCTGGGGAGGGGGCAAACAGGAGGCGGCTCCCAGGACAGGCTGCACCCCAGCTCGAGGAGGAACTCAGACCGAGGGCAGGCCCCATGCGTGACCGGTCCTCAGACAGGAACCCGACCTGGCTGAGGCCACAGGGAGGGGCTGCCAGTCAGCGCCTGTCCTCCGGCTCCTTCCACGTTGGACGTGGACAAGGGGGTACCACCCGGTCCTTCTGCTCGCAGGGTCATGAGCACAGGGCGCAGGCTGTTCCCCTCGGCTCGCTCTGGGAGTCTCCGTGGCTACCGGCCAAAGTGGATGCCTATGGAACAACCTTGCACGTGAGTGCGGATGAGGAGAGCGGGCTCTGGGGGCAGCAGGCCTGGGAGGGCATCCCGCTCTGCCCCTCCATGTCCTCATCAAGGGGAGACTGCTAACAGGATCCACTAGAGGATGCAAGGACTTCTCTTCCCTACAGTGACTAGGACAGGGCGTGACACACGGGAAGGGTTGCATGTGCTCTTATTCAAACACACACAACTGGGCCCACCAGAGCCAAATAACCATTCCCATTGTTGGGCATTTTCTCTGTGTGAGCAACCTCAAGCACAGAGGCCTATTTATTAGAAAGAGCAGGGGAGAGAGGGGGAGGGAGGGGGAGGGAGGGGGGTCTTCCATCTGCTGGTTCTCTCCCTGAATACCCACAACTGTTGGGACTGGGCTAGGCAGAAGGCAGGAGACCAGGACACCATCCAGGCCTCCCATGCAGGTGGCAGGAATCCAAAGGCTTGGGCCATCACCTGCTGCCTCTCAGGCGCACTGGCAGGAAGCTGGATGGGATGCGTGGAGTAGCTGGGACTCAGACCAGGTACTCCCTTTGGGGTGTGGGATGCAACGCCCTCCCCACAGAGGCCAGTTCAATTCTGCCCTTGAAACAACGTGATGAGGGGGCTGGTATCACAGTTTAGACAAAGCGATCCCCTGTTGGTTCAGAGATACGACCTGTCACTGGCGGGGGCTGCACAGGCAGGGGGTGGCAGAGCCAGAACCCAGGGCCCGGTGTGCTCACCTCCAAGCTCCTTGAGGTCCTGACATTTCACACTGCACCCTGGAGCTCAGGCCCTTGGGCACCCTTAGCTCACCTCCAAGCACCACTTAGCATCCAGGTACACTTAGGCAACAGGGACCAGTTCCCCACCTAGAGAAAACCTGAACACTTGCTTGCATGCCTTGGTATGAATCAGCTTCTCAAAAAAAAAAAAAAAAAAATCCCAACCCTGCAAGACCCTCAACTCCCTGGAAAAGTCCCTGTTACAGAGCTCTGACATCATCTGGCCCAGCCCTGAGCTCATTCTGCAAGGAGGGCCCTGTTTGCAGGCCCTCGGTCACAGATACTCAGCAATGCTTTAACATTACCCAAAGCTATGACACCAGCTGGGGCAAAGCACGCAGGGAAGTTGTGTGTGTGTGTGTGGTGGGGGGAGAGGTCCACAGGGAGCTTCCAAAGGCTCTGAGGTGTTCCTGGAGACCTGAGAGGCCACACAGGTGTGCAGGGCTGGGCCCACACACAGGACACGGCTAAGGGGTCTGCAGTCCCTCAGCTCTGGCTAATACTGAATTCCTGTCCAAGGAGGAAGCGAAGACTAAGGCAGAGTCACAAACTCCCTAAACAAGGAAGATGTGTGTGTGTGTACGTTTGTGTGTACATGTGTATGTGTGTGTGTGTGTCCTTCCTTCCCTCTCTCAGCAGAGGGTACAACACTTACTGGTTCAAAGCACTTACACAAATCCTCAGCTCGCCCTAAATGAACAAGGAGAGACTTCAGCGGCTGCTGTCCTACAGGAACACTGATTCTATACAGTCGGTCTGGAGGAATTACTGAACACACAGCTGCAACAACAAAAGCTGGAGAGGTGAAGCTGATTTGCAGAGTTGTACATCACGCACGATGTCCCGTTTTCAACAAAGATTACAATACAAACAGGAAATTGTGGCCCACACATGGGAAGAAGCCAGAAAACAGAGCTGACCTTGACTTATATGTTAGACTTAGTAGTCAAAGACTTTAAGGCAGTTACTGTAAATTTGCTCAAAAACTAAAGAAAACTAGGGCCCAAGGATTCAAGGCCCCTAACCTAAAGCTCCATTAGGCTGTAGCTACTCCAGGTTTCTTTGGATTCGTGGTATTGATAAGAGATAGATAGGCAGGAAGTTAGCTGAGGATTGCTGGGCTGAAGTCACAAGCCCCCATGTCATTCTGCCTTCCTCGTTGCCAATCAAAACACCCTCTTTCCCAGGATTCACTTGCTTCATCTGGGACCTGAGGGGAAGACGCCATGAAAATACAGATATTGAGCTCCACATGGGATTTATGGAGGGAATCATAAAATTCCCAGGCGGCTTCATGCATGTAGAGGCACCACCCCCCCTACACACCTCATAAAAGAGACCAACAGGGGCTGGTGCTGTGGTGCAGCAGGTTAAGCCATGGTCCACAGCACCGGATCCCATATGGGTGCTGGTTCAAGTCCCGGCTGCTCCACTTCTGATCCAGCTCCCTATTAATGCGCCTGGGAAAGCAGCAGAAGATGGCCCAAGTCCCTGGGCCCCTAAACTTACGTGGGAGACCCAGAAGAAGCTCCTGGCTCTGGGTATCAGCCTGGCACAGCCCTGGCCATTGTGGCCATTTAGGGGGTGCACCAGTGGATGGAAGACCTGTCTCTCTGTAACTCTGCCTTTCAAATAAATAAATCTTAAAAAGAAAAAAGAGGCCAACCAGGGGGAGAGACGCTCTTCCTCGGAAACGCAGGTGCAAAGGGATGTCAGGGGCCCTCTCTGCTTCCCCTCTCACACCTCCTTTCCCTTCTGGGCCAACCTTTCAACCCACTGCCCACACATGACAGCCACTTCTCTGTGTGGGGAACCCACGCTCAGGTGTGCGTGTTCACTTCCTCAACTTTTGGATGGAATTTACTTGACATATGTCAGCACTGAGGGTGCTTATCTGTGCATGACAAGAGCCTGGAATGAAAATTAATATCCCCCTCTGGGGCCAGTGCTGTGGCATAGCAGGTAAAGCCTCCACCTGCAGTGCCAGCATCCCCTATGGGTGCCAGTTTGTGTCCTGGCTGCTCCACTTCCGATTCAGTTCTCTGCAATGGCCTGGGAAAGCAGTAGAAGATGGCCCAAGTCCTTGGGGCCCTGCACCCACATGGGAGACCTGGAAGAAGTTCCTGGCTTTGGATCAGTGTAGCTCTGTCCGTTGTGGCCAACTAGGGAGTGAGCCAGCTGATGGAAGACACCTCTCTCTCTCTCTCTCTCTCTCTCTCTGCCTCTCCTTCTATGTGTAACTGACTTTCAAATAAATAAATATTTTTTAAAAAACCCTCACCCACATCATCACGATGACGTATCTCTGCATACCTTCATAATTCATCTGTGCTTTCCTGTTATCTTACTTACATCATACATAACTTGTATATCTTAAGATGACAAATAAAATTGAATATATTTATCATGTAAAAAAAGAATTAAAGTATGACAATGACATTGTACCAATTGGAGAATATCAGAAAGACAGAAATTATAAGAAGAACCAAACAGAACTTCTAGACTTTGAAAGTATGATAACTGAAATGAATGATTCGCTCTACAGGCTCAACGGCAACTTGAGCTGATGGAAGGGAAAGCAGGCTATCCAGTCTAAGGATCAGGATGGAGGAGGGGAGTAAACACAGCCTCAGAGACTGGCGGGTTCCATCCAAGGCCAATACACACATAACAGGAGTCCCAAAAGAAGAGGACAAGCAGAAGGGGTGGGACAGTTATATAAGGGAATGATGCCTGAAAACTTCCCAAATCTGTTAAAAAACATGAAAGAATCTCAATGAGCACACCCTTAAAGACAGTCACACCTACACACAGCAAAAGACAAAGAATCTGGAGATGCAAAAAAAAAAAAAATCATCACATACAAGGACGTCTCAGTAAAGCTAACGGTTGATTTGTAGTCAAAAAGCCATGGAAGCAGGAGGGCAGTAAGATGACAATTTTAAAATACTGAACGTGGGGGGGAAGACTATTAAATAAAGACTACAGAACCAGAAAATCCAGCCTTCAACAATCAAGAATAAATGAAGACATTCGCCAATAAGCAAAACAGTCGTTATCCTACAAAGATCCCAAGGGCGTCCCCTGGGAGGAGCCAACAGCAGTAGGTGGCACTCGGATCCACCGGGAGAAATAACGAGCACCGTACAGCGAGACTCGACCGAGGGTACATACACATGCGTTTCACAGTTTTTTCTATTTCAAAGCTAAGGGCATAAAGCAATACTCTTACAGCAGGATGGTGCTAAGGAGGTGGCCAGCATGGTAACAGCACAAGGAGGAGCTACACTGGAGAGAAGTTCTGCACACCAGTGACGTGACGGTAGTATCGCTCTGAGCTACGCTGGTTGCCATCAAGAGGCTAATTGTAACCCCCAGAAGAACCACTGAGAAAATGACAATGCCCCCAGAAAACTGGGAGGAAACGTAAGTGGTGTGCTAGGAAAGACGGGTCCTCACGAAAAGGAGGCGGCAATGGCAGACACAAACTGCAAGGTGTACAGAAAGAGGAGGGCAAATCACGTCCCTTATCAGCAATTACATTAAGTATAAATGATTCAAAAACCTCAACAGAAAGACAAAGATTGGCGAAGGGATTTTTAAAATGCGGAAGCTACCCAGACAAAAGAGACACGTTTAAATAAAAAAATAAATAAATAAATAAATAAATAAAAACCAGAAGTAGGTGGAATGTGAAATGATGGAAAAAGATATACCATGCAAACAATATCCAAAAGAGAGAGCTAGACCAGAAACAAGAATGTCAAACGTAACAGACTGTAAGACAAGGATCCTTGAGGCCAGAGGAAGAACTGTAGTCACAAAGCATCAAGTCAGGAGGGAGAGATAACAATCGTATGTGTTATATACATATATGTAGATATATATGTATTATACGATTATATGTATGTGTGTGTGTGTGTGTGCCCTTAACAACACAGCACCATAACTCATGAAGTAAACATGGACAGAACTGCAGGAAGACTCAGCAATCATCACTGGAGACTCCAATACTGAGACTTCAGCAACAGAACTAGGCAGGGACTCAACACGGAAACAAAACTCGCACACACAAGTAACCACGCACACTCTTGTGCAGGGCACACTTTTCCTCCAGTGCACATGGACCACGTTACAGGACGGCTCCTGGCTGGGCCCAAAGCAAGCTTTCAAAATGAGAAAGGGAGGCTGAAACAGGCTATGCAGGTATGTTAGCCAACTAGGAGCAATAAGACTGCAATCAATTTAAAAAAAAAAAAAAAAAGAAATTTGGGACAGTCACAAGCATGTGGAAGTTAGCTTACTGCTAAATGGCCAAAGAAGAAGTCACAGCAAAAATTAACAAAAATAGGCCAGTGCCGCAGCTCAATAGGCTAATCCTCCGCCTGCGGTGCCAGCACCCCAGGTTCTAGTCCCGGTTGCTCCTCTTCCAGTCCAGCTCTCTGCTGTGGCCAGGGAGTGCAGTGGAGGATGGCCCAAGTGCTTGGGCCCTGCACCCCATGGGAGACCAGGAGAAGCACTCCTGGCTTCGGATCAGCGCGGTGTGCTGGCTGCAGTGCGGCGGCCATTGGGGGGTGAACCAATGCAAAAGGAAGACCTTTCTCTGTTTCTCACTGTCCACTCTGCCTGTCAAAAAAAAAAAATTAACAAAAATAAGTGGAGAGACTACGGAACAAAATGACAACATGTTGAAACTTCTGGGAAGCTTGTAGCCGTCAAAGAGGAAAGATCTCAGATTCATAACCTGACACTTGAGAAACCAGGCAAGGAGCAAACCAGATCTAAGCAAACAGAAAAAAGGTTACTACAACTAGCGTGCAAGTAAAGATGAGAAAAGCAGTGGAAATCAACAACAAACGTGGGTTCTTTGTAAAGTTCACATTCGACAAACTTTAGCTAGACCAAGAAAGAAAAAGAAAAAGACTCAAATGACTAACATCGGGAGAACTTTCTAGAACCTACCAGAATGAAAAGAATTACATGGGAATAATGTGAACAACTGTACGTCTGTATGAAACAAATTCCTGCAAAGACACAAAACTACCACAGCTGCCTCAGGAAGAAATGGAAAATCAAAACAAAAATTATCAACTTCAACAGTCTCAAAATGGGAAATACAGGGCCAGAGGCTTCACTGGTGAACTCTTACAAGACACTGAAAGAATCAATGCCTAGTGTTCTTAAACTAGTCCCAAAAAAGTAAAAGCTAGCAATGAGAAAGTTCTGAGCCCCTGTATGCAGCTGGCGGACATCCCTACAAAAATGCACAAAAAGCCACATACTCCTCACCTGACAAACAGATAAACACAACGTATATGCAAATGATGGAGCGGTGCTGTTATAAAAGGACCAACCAAGATGTGGGGCGGACCTCCCAACACCGCTGAGTCACTCACAGAAGGCCACACTGGGAAGACAGCGGCGCCCAGGGGCTGCCTGGGCCTGCAGAACAAGGAGGGTGGGGACACAAATGCCCCAAATGGCCGGGCGCCACCTCACCGGGGCTGTCTGGGAGAAGGGCCCAGCAGGTCTGCCTGAGCCACCTGCACAGCTGGGGTCCCCGGGCTTGGATGCTCCCTATTTTGGTCCCAGACTCCCTGAAGCCCCCCCCCCCACCAGGTCCCCTACAGTTGCAAGGACCCACAAACAAGAGAAAATACACCACAGGTCTCTTCTTTCCCCCTTCCCTCTGAAACTCAGTCTCACTGCCTTCAGAGCCAAGGTCAGGGACGCTGGGCTTCCCCAGGACTGGTGCTCCGGGGCCTTAAGAGCCTGCCCTGCCCCCAACCCCCGTTCCTGGGCCAGTGGTGTTAACCTTGGCTGTGTGCTGACCTCTCCTTGTGCTCCAAGCCCCGCTCTCAGCTCCCCTGGCAACTCCCCACCCCCGCTGCATGTCTCCACGCAGGTGGGAGAAGGCGCTGAGGTCTTCTAACACCCCTTGCTGGAGCGCTGAGCGGTTCTGAGCTTCCTCAGAGAGCGATGTGAGGCCCAAGCTGCCAGGGATCCTAAACACCATGCAGTCTCGCCCATTTCCTCCTCCCTGGAAGTCACCGATGTTCCAGCAGAGAGTAAGGAGAGGAGCTAAGGCCATCCTGGGCTTTCTGAGAATGCTTGGGGATGGCATGCCCGCCCCTAATTACAGGCAAGAATGCAGAGGCTTGGACAGGTGACAACGCAGCCTGGCTAGGAGATGGGACCAAATCCTCTGAGGCCGGGTCCCTTTTTTAGGAAAAAAAAAAAAAGATCATTTAAAAGGCAGAGTGGCACAGAGAGACAGAGAGAGGGGTCTTCCATCCAGTGGTCTGTTCCTAAAATGCCTGCAACAGCCAAAGCTGGGTCAGACCTAAAGCCAAGAGCCTGGAACTCCATCCGGGTCTTCCACATGGATGTCAGGGACTCAAGCTCCTGGGCCATCATCTGCTGCCTTCCCAGGCGCGTGAGCTGTAGCTGGATCGGAAGCAGAGGAACCAGGACTCGAACTGGCGTTCCAACATGGGATGAGGGCATCCAAGCGGTGGCTTAACCTGCTGCGCCACAAAGCCCCGGTTCCCTTTTAGAAGAACCCACAGGACTGCTTCCCAGGACACTTGAATGGGGAAGAGGTGACAAAGAGGGACACTTCTCAGAAGTGCAGGGGGACTCGGGCCAACACCGAGCCACCAGCAGGCAGCCTTGGGGCTCCACGGCCCTGACATTCCCACACCCACACTCACGCCTGTCCACCACAGTCCACGGCCTTCAGGGCCAGGCCAGACAAGTGCTGCCACATTGCCGGGCCGGCACCAGCTTCACAGCCAGCAGAACACTGAGCCCATCATTGCCTTCAGGGAGCTCCCGGCTCAGCCGGTGAGGGCTCGGAGTCTGCAAAAACGACGCGCCTGCGCATTGACCCACGGCAGGAAGTGTTCACAGGAAAAACGCAGGCTGGGGACCCAGCGAGGCGGGCTGTGGTCTGAATGCCGGTCTCCCCCTCCAAATTCCTACACTGAACTTCCTCTCTAGGGTGATGCCGTGAGCGGGTGATGACGTCTCTGGCCCCACCGATGGCTGCGCTATGGGCCAGTGTCGCTTATGTAAGGCCGCCACAAAACACACCAAACACCAGAGGAAGGGTTTATCAGGGGAAACCCGACAGACTGGAGACAAGGGGCAAAGAAGGAAAAAAAGGGAGAAGAGAGTGTAAGAGAGCGATCAAGAGAGCGAGTGAGTGAGCGAGCCACCTGTTCAGGAGCAGGTCCTGTTAGACCTTTGTGGGGTGGGGGCAGGGAAGTAGGAGCAGCGAATCCCATTAGGATGGGGGCGGAGCTGACATGGGCGGTTGGGCCTTGGGGCCACCTGGCTTCCAGCAATGGCGGCGGGTGCTAGAGCCTAGGATGGTGTCCAGGGTGTAGATCACCATGGGTAAGACTGCCCATTTCACTAACAGTTTAGTCTTTATCCCAGGTTCTTGCCCTCATGGAGATAAGAGTGCAAAGCAGAGGCATACACACACAGTGCATGAGAGCAGATTTGAGAGAGAGAGAGACAGCGAGGTACCTGTGTGGGCGACAGAGTTGCCTTTAAGGAGGGAGGCGGGGGAGGTGCTTGAAGAAGCCAAGGGCAGAAGAAGGACCCCCCCCCTTACCAGTCTTTTAGGAGATAGGGGTGGTGCCCTAATTAGATATGCCTGGGGCTTTGTGGGAGCTTCATGGCTGCGCCTCCACATGGGGTTTAACTTCCACATGGCCACCACGACGTCCCCTCCTTCCTGGTCCCGGACGAGGCCCAGGTGCCTCCTGGGAAAGTGGGTGTACTGGATTGACAGGTGAGGGGCTGGAGCTGCAATGCAGGGCTGGCAGCCCCCCTTCTACCTAATCTTCTGGCCTCGTTCCCCCACATGGATCTCAGTGCCCTCGGAGGGAGGCTGAAGGCAGCCTGGCCACCATGCAAGGACACACAGGAGGCACTGGCCATGAGAACAGGCACTCGCCAGACGCCCAGTGTTCTCACACCCTGGTCTGGGGCTTCCCAGCCTGGGGCGCCCAGGGCCAGAGAAGGGGCAAGGCAACTTCAAGGTGGAGGGAACCCAGGAGGATGAAAGGAAATAAAACCAGCCCATGGTGAAGATGAGGAGTGAGGGGAAGCTGGAGACCACACACAGCCACCTGCGGACAGCACCAGGGGTTCACTGTCAAGGTCGCAGGAGGACGCAGGGGAGCGGGTGACGCAAACACGCTGCTCTGGCTGCTGGAGGACCGACCCAGCAGGAGGGGTCCCTGTGGGAGGACCTCCCAGGAGGCCGCTGCGGTGAGCAGGGACAGGGCGCGGCGGGGCTGAGACCAGAGTGTTGGCACGGAGCAGAGGGACTCATGGGTATCCAGGAAACCGAACTGGCAGGACCTGGTGATGGCAAATGGGAGGGAAAGAGCGAGAGCTGGGACTTAGCCTGGGCCAGTGTGAAGCCCAGGCCACTCTCAGAGCCATCCAGTGGGCCAGAGGGAGGCCTGACCCGGGGAGAGGCCTGGAGGCGGAGTGTGCAGCAGACTGAGAAGGGCCAGGGTGAACCTGCGCTGACCAGCTGGGAAACCAGCAGAGATGACAGCATGATGCCAGAGGGCGCAGGGTGGTAGTGGGGGACAATGGCCTGGGAGTGGGGCAGGGCAGGGCAGGACCATGGGAGCCAGGACTCAAAACTTAGCCATCAGACCCCTGGGGCAGAGCGAAGCCGATTTCACAGCATAAAGGGAAGAAGAGCAGGTCCAGCAGACCCAGGCTGCGCAGGGTCAGCCCAGGAGGCGGAGCTCAGAGTGCCAGGACTGCGCACCTGCCCCAGCACAGGCGGCCTCTGCACAGCCGAAGCTGAAGAGGGTGCTAGGGTTGAGTGGGGAAGGACCAGATGGATGGCTCCTGGGGTGCTGGGGTGGGGGAACTCGAGGGGCAGGGCTTGTGGAGCACACAGGGAAAGATTTGTTTGTTTAAAAGGTGAAGAGACAGAGAGAGAGAGCAAGCGAGCGATTGAGTGCTTCCATCTGCTGGTTCACTCCCCAAATGGCAGCAAGAGCAGATAAGGGCCAGGCCAAAGCAGGAGCCAGGAACTCCACCCAGGTCTCTTATGTGGGTGGCAGGGGCCCAAGTACCTGGGCCATTTTCTGCTGCCTCCCCAGGTGCATTAGCAGGGAGCTGGATCGGAAGCGGAGCAGCCAGGGCTTGAACTGGCACTCCAATATGGGAGGCCAGTGTTGCAAGTGGCAACTTAACCTGCTCCACCACAAGCTGGCCATTTGGTTTTTAAAATGCAAAGTCTAAGGAGCGATTCCCACAGGTGTCTAGGCCAGCAGGAGTGCCCCAGGGAGCAGAAAGGAGGGTGTGAGCATCGGGGGAGAAGGGGACATGACGCGGGGCAGGATGGGTCCTTATCCCGCAGTTAGGGTGCGGAGCCGAGAGACCCAGAGGCCAAGAGGAGCAAGTGGCAGCGTGGGATGAGCGTGCCTCAGGGTCTGGGGGGCCCCCAGGCTGCCCTCGCCCCCTCCTTGGCCTGGAACTACAGCTGTCTCCGTGCTGGGCTCCAGCACCACAGCCCGACCCTGGACAACAACGTGGAGGCAATGAAACACGCTACCCAGTGAGGATGGGGCCCTCTGCTTTTAGGGGAGCTGGACTCTATTCTCCAAACCCCTTGCTGCTCATCAGCCTTCCGGCTTCTCAGGGAGTTCCTGGAACCCACGAATGCGCCACTCGCAAAGCTCCGCCCTGCACAGAACGCTGCGCGTGGCTCACCATCAAGCACACCCTCACCAAGGGCCCCAGCCCTGCTCCCAGGCTCGCCACGCCCACACCTGGCTGCAGCTTCCCAGCCGGCAGGAAAGCAGGTGGCACCTGGATGAAGAGCCAGGCCCTGCATTTCACGGGCAGGGTGAGGACACGCACGAACGCGATTCCGGTGCCGCCTTCATGAGCCCACACGTGATTGGAGCTTTTCCGCCTCACCAAGGACAACATGCCAAAGTATGGTGTCATCACACTTTGGATTAGGAAACACCCAAGAATGAAACCAGCGAGAATGGCTGTGGCCTTTAACCCAAATGACATCCGTGACCAAGGACCCGCTTCTGGTTTGGAGAGTCAGGCGAGCCTCGGCTCAATGCGTGACACACAGAACCCCTGGGAACAGCCACACCACAACGTCACTGTAGCTGTGACGCCTGAATCACCTCCTGTGCAAAACAGCAAGTTGCAAGCGGTGTCTAAACCTACACAAGTACTTCCAAAAGCTCCTGGAAATGCGGAATTAAAAGCTAAGTTTATCTTGCTGCAAATGCCCAGGTGCTTTTTAGAGTTGATCTTTATTTATTAATAAGGCAGAGTGGCACAGATATGGAGAAAGAGATCTTCCATCTGCGAGTTCACTCCCCCAGTGGCTGTAACAGCCAGGGCTGGGCCAGGCTGAAGCCAGGAGCCCAGAACTCCACCCAGGTCTCCCCTGTAGGTGGCAGGGGCCCTAGTTCTTGGGCCATCTGCTGCTTTCCCAGGAGCATTAGCAGGGAGCTGGACTGGAAGCAGAATGGGACAGCGGGGACTTGAACTGGTGCGCCGATATGGGATATGTCCTGGCAGGGATATGTCCTGGCAGGAGCCCCCATGCCTGGCTCTTTCATGAGAGGCATTTTCCGTGAACTCTTGGAAACCCCCTCCTAGACACAGATTTCAAACGTTTTGTGTCAACATGAACTTGTCCTCTGATTCCGCTTTCCAGGAGCTTTTCAAAGCGCCCTTGTGTGACGCGTGCTGCGGATGCTCTGTGAAGCCGGTTGCCGGACAAGATTCCAGAACTGCCCCCGCATGAAAAGCCCTGCAGTGACCGCTTTCTAAGTTTGACAACCAAAGCATCACAGGGCTTGCGGTGGGCAGAGGTCCCCGAGCGTCTGCCACCCAGCCCGACAGCTCCCGGGATCGAGCCTGCAATCTCATCTTGTATACACCTGCCTTCCTTGGAAGGGAGACTCTACGGCCTGCTGGGTCCGCCCCTCCCTCTGCCCCAGACCTGGCCAGCTTCCCTCATTTCCAAGGGCTTGAGGAATCCTATTGGCACATCAGACTGGACCCGGCTTCCAGGCGGGGTGGCCCGCTGTCCCCTGGGGGACACCCGCCCCAGACCAGGCCTGTTGCTCACCTGCTGGGTGTAGCCAGCAGTGGGCCCCAGGCGACATCCCTCCCCCTGGGAGATGTCTCTGGCTCCCTCCTGGGAGCTGCTTAACTTCCCTAGTCAAGGTCTCATAGGCTTTTGCTTCTGGGACAAAGGTTACACTCCCTGCCTTGTTTACTGCCCAGGGGTCAGGAAAGACCAAAGCCTCCGGTGACATCCCTCCAGCTGTGGGCTCAGGCTGCTTGGTGGGGGCGGGGGAGCAAGCTTGCACTGTAGCCCTGGCTGCTGCAGCCACAGGCTGGCTCCCAGCCCTGCCCCTCCAAGCCAGAACCTCCACGTGGGGGGTTAATTTTTCCCCCCTCTTTAAAATGAAGCAACTAAGAACCCTGCAACCCTTCGCACCCCGCTCTGGGTTTTGGCTGCAACGCGGCTGGACCACAGATGAACAGATGAACCGGGCATCTTTTGTCTCAGCTCCCCAGGCTCCTGGTTAGCGCCATTTAATTATTCCGCAGGTGGAACGCTACCTGGAACCCTATGTGAAATGAACCTGCCCATCACTCACACCTGCACAAGATCCGCCCAGCCTCTCGGCACATTCCAGAATAGATTCTGGGAAGACGGACCGACGCCGGAGCAGGTCGGCGCGCAGCCCCAAGCCTGGCGGGCAGCAGAGCATTGGGGGCGCGCTGCAAGCTGCTGGCGCTCCGCAAGGCTCCGCACGGTGCGTCAGGGGTTAAGTGGGGCCGGCCCCAGCCCGGAGGGAGGCCGGACCGCAGGCGGCCGCCCACGTCCAGAGCGTGCTGCCGGGCTTTGGGCCCTCTCCAAGCCTACTGCATTCCACAGCAGCTCCGCGCGCGGAGTTTTGGAAAACTCTTGAGTCAGGGCCCCTCCGTCCAAGCCCGTGCCAGAGGCGGCAGAGATGAATGAACGGCCTCTCTCCGAACGGTTAAGCCGCAGAGGCGGCACGGGACCCGCGGGCGCCGGCGCGGGGCTCCCCCGCCCCAGCCGTGGACCTGGCGGACCTGCAGCCGCGTCTCCCCCCACGCCGCCCCCACATCCACTCCCGGCCCCATAGGGCGGGTGCTGCCCTCGCGCCTCCGTCCCTGCCGCCCCAAGGCCAGCCCCCGCGCCTAGCGCCCGGGAAACGCCACCCCTCCAAAGTTGGGAGGTGGGGGACTCCGGGGAGCCGCAGCCACACCTGAGCGCTTCCCACGCGGACGCAGGTGCGGCGGGGCTGGCGGGCAGCCCGGGGAGCCCGGGGAGCGCTCCCGAGCCGCAGCGCACGTGCGCGTCCGAGTTACCTTTGGGCGCTCGCAGGTGTCCCCTCCAGCCCTTGCAGCAGCACAGCCCCATGGCAGCCGCGCGCGGCTCCGCACCCGGGGTCCCGCCCGCGGGCAATGCCCGGCCGGGCGCGGGACCGCCGCGCTCCCCGGCACTCACGCTCCGCAGCCGCCGCCGCCCCGCGCCGCGGACATCGCGGCCTCCGGGCAGACCCTGCTAATCAATAGGAGAACGCGCAGATCGCGCCGGCCGCGCCGCCTGCCCGCTTTTATCTCGGCGCGCCGGGGCGGCCCCGCGCCGGCTCCCTGCCCTCACGGGCGCCCTCCCCGCGGCCCGTTAGCCTCGGGGCGCCGAGGCGCGCGCTTGCCCGGGTGCCCGCCAGGGGGCGCTGCGCGGACCGGAGCTGCCGGCTCCTCGCCCCGGGGGCCCGCCGCGGGGTGCGGGTGCGCGCAGGGAAGCCGAGGGGGCCCCCCCGGCCTTGCGGAGAGAGCGCTGCGCTCCCGCCGCCGGGGCACCGCAGAAGCCGTCCCCTCCTGGCTGCCCAGCCGGCGCGGCTCTGAGCCATACAGGAGCAGGAAAAGAGGGTGCTTACTGGGAGGCCCCCCAAACCTGGCTGGGACTTTGGCGGGGAATCGCTTATCCCCCTCAGGGGAGCTGTTTGAACTCTCCAGAAGTGAGGGCAGTGGCGCCATGTCTGATGACACCCAGTACACATGGACGGTTTTGGGGCTGTGAAGTTATGGGGACCTCCTGCCTCAGTTTCCCCATGCACGCTACAGAGTGATAGAATCCGCTTAATTGGCTCCTTGTGAGTGGAAGGCAGCGAAAAGCAGCTGGTGTGTGTTGCTAAGGGTTCTGCAGGTGGGTATCGTTACCATCAGCATCACCTGTGTCAGGTGCTGGGGCGATCGGGGTGAAGCGCGCTCTCAGCCTGAGGGTGTATGGAGCACTCTGGCTTTGGAAGGTCCCAGGAGAGCTGCCTGATGCAAACTAGAACTGCTAAACCCTGGGGATTCCCTGTTGGGGTGTGCACCCCAATCCGTTTCCCAGCTTGCATCTGCCAACCGCTGGAACCCGCCTCCCACCCCCCACCCCGGAATGCTCACCAAATATCGGACCTCTGTGCCCTCCAAAGAAGGGAGACAGAAAAGGCGGGAGCTAGGAAACCAGGTGTGATCTGTGATCGCCTCTGGGGAGGATAGGTTCACGTAGGCATGTTCGTGTGTGTGCACACGCATGTGCATGTGTGAAGAATGGAGTCGAGTCTCTTGGCACATAGGAAGGCATATGGGAGTTACTATTGTGTAACTGAAGGGAGCAATCAAATGAGAGCAATTGGATTCGGAAGTGTCTGGCACACAGTAGGGTTCTTAATGCAAGGTTCTCCCCTTCCGTGGGGTTCTTGGGATATTTTCCCGGCTCCAAGAAAGGTCGGGGGCCACCCTTCGGCCGGCCTTGGCCTGGGATGGGTTTTTCTCCCTTGTCCCTTCCACACCCCCCCCTCACCACTGTTGGGGAACAGAGGGGCCAAGGCGGGAAGGCTGCCTCTCCCCCAGGCTCTTGGGGGGGGGCCCCCGGGGGGGGTTCAACCCCGGGGCGGGGGGGGGGGGGGGGGGCGCAGGGAGAGGGGTTAGGAAAGAATGGCTCAGAGCCGGGAAGAGGTTTTCCCAGGAGTTAAGTCTTCGTTCAAAGAAGAGATTAACAACAGCCGGGCAGCTTTTTTTTTTTTTTTTTTGCCTCTCTCTCCTTTAACTCCCCAGACAGACCAGAGTGAGGCTCCTCCTCCGGGAGAGACGGGCTGTCCAGCAGCCACTGCCGACGGGTAAAAGATGTTTTCACTTTCTGATGAGAGAGAGAGAGAGAGAGAGACACGGAGAGAGAGGAGCCAGGGAGACCTGACTTCTGCCTGCTGCCAAGTCATTGTAAACAGCGTTAGCACCAGGCAAGGCCACTCCGTCACAGCAGGCTTAATGAGGCCCCAGGAATTCCAGGCTGGAGCTCAGCTGCATTCAGGGAGAGCATCGGCCGGCCGGGGAGCGGGGAGCGAGCCCCCGGGGGATTGTCCAACAGCCAAGTCCTACATTTGGAAAGCAAGATTTAAAAGAAAGCAGCGCAGCGGCCATTGTGGGCGCTTGTTTATCTTGCTAAGAGGAAGTAGCAAGGCAGGACGGTTTCAAACGAGCCTATTATAGAGGGTCAGTGTCCCCATTGAACCGTTCAAACATATTTTTGGGATACTCGACTTTTCAAAGTCGCTGTAAATGTCAACTCCCGGGGCAGCTCAGCAGACAAATGGGAAGGCAAGAGCTGCTGGTGCAGTCGCCTTGGGCTCTGCACACTTTTAATTCCTGATGACACGCTGTCCTCTTGGAGGGTTCTAGCGGTGGGTTTCGTCCTCAGAGAGGGAGGAAGATGACACTGGCTAGGTGCTTCCCACCAGCAGCTGGGCTACTCACTGGGTATTACCCCAGTTACTCACAGGGCAAGCCTGGGGAGAGATGCCATTGGACTTCATCCACAGAGGGAGAATCCAGTTCAGGGATGTAGAGAGACTTGCCCAACATCAATGAGGCGAAAGCAGAGCCCAAGAGGGGTGGGTGGATGGATGGACAGACAGGTGGGAGGATGGGTGCATGGGTGCATAAGTAGCTGTGATACAGGGGACCTAGGTGGGGAGTTCAGTAGGACTAAGTGAGCTCAGAGATTTCCCCAAAATTTCTGTCTCAACTCCACCCCCTTGCATGTCAATCTAGTGCTCCCACATTCCCATGATGCACCTGCATCTCTCCCAGGACTGGGAAGGAGGAGACACCATGATGGACGCATGGAAACTAAACTCCATCCACATGGAGATGCCATCAACCTCCCATGAAACCGCAGGCA